GAAGTCGGATTGACAGGAATATCACGACAGATCAATAATACTTGCTGGACATCCTCTTAAACCACACTAAATGGAGCCTTGCCCCAAGGAGTATCGGCTCATTTAGGGTCTAAATTAACACTTCCAAGAACAATCCCGTACCGGATGTTAAGGGGTTTTCCTTATCGGGGCCAACAGAAGATAAAGTAATTTAGCATACTTATATTATCAGTATCAAGAAATGCAATACCTTCCTTGATTCAGCCATCCAGAGCTCCAAAGTAGCCCACCTCGTGGGACAATGTTTCTTAGCTCCTTCAATATCGCTACATTTCTTGTGTGCCTCTTTATCAGACTCGTTTTTGGGAAATGGATCCGCATTGAAATAACTATCAGATGAAGTTAGTATGTCTCTGAACTCCGATATAGCCGTGCTGGTATCGTTGATCTCAGTGACAAGTTTTGCAACATCGACAACCTATGAATGAGTCAAAAGAGGAAATAACTAGGAAGAAATTCGGAGGTGGTACGAGGTATTGTCTTAAAGAAATGACATCACTAACAGAACGATTCTTTGTTTAGACAAAAACTGGAAATAACCTCACCATGGGATAGAGAAGATCAAGCTGCTTTTTACCAAGCTCATGAACTTCTATTACTGTCATGTTATTTGTTGTGAAATACGACATGATCTTAGAATACGCCAACGATCCATTCAGCGGTTCACCAGTGGGCAGGAATGGGTCTGTGGGCTGGGAGGTGTTCTCTTTGCCGTCGAACCAAACATACTTGAGTGGAAGACCAGCTAAACCGCTAGACACGTTGCTTGGAACACAATGACGAATGTGTTCCTCCTCGACGTATCTAAATTACAATCATTATGATGTTTTACATTTTTGTCCCTAATGTGATCCTGATCAGTAGGCGGATAGCTATAGATAGCTGTTATTATCATAGGTTTTGCTACTTAAGGGAGTTATATCAGTCGATAACTTTAGAAATAGATTCCCTTGACTTTTGAAGGAATAAGCGTAAAAATGTCAGAATATAAATATAATATGACAGAATCAGCTTCTGAGACCGAAAAGGTTCATGAATTGAAGAAAAGATCTTAAGATCGCTGTAGCGCTATATTGTTTCATGTGTCCTAACTTTCTCTGCCATAATGGAGGGTGTTAAGTAATAAAACCAAGATCCAACCACAGTCACAACTGCACTAACTGCACAAAATATCGTTTCTCCCGGCTTAAATCACATCCTAATCCAGCTATTCCAGTAATGCTGAACGGTATTTTAAGTTGTCTTTGGTGACTGTTAAGGACCCGTCTGGAAAGCCCTCACACGAAAACTATATTTAGATGAAAGCCCTCCAGCTGTGGCGATCGCAAGTAGTAAACAATATTCTATGTGGGTTTGTATATCAGCCCTAAGATGACTTCCCCAGATAATCTCTGGATAATACTTGGTACATTGAGACAAGGTCGATGTTAGAAGGTTCTTTGAAAAATGCGAAAGCGGGAGAAGAGGTTATAGTAGTCGATATTTACCGAGCGGCGAGATAAATATCATGACTTTCACCGACACCGAGGTATTGTTTTAGCATGTACCATAAAGAAAAAAAATTTATTCTTGGAAATATATTGGAAAATGGTCGGAAATCAAACTCTAAATCTCACGTGAGATTTTGCCTTCTTGGGTGCTCGGGGCCAAATAGTAAAAGTACTTGCTAATCACTTCCGAACTCGTCAGTTAGCGCGTTCGAAGAACATTAATAACCTTCATGGGGTGTACTACAGTAAAGTAACGGATAATTTCTGTTCCTCGCGTGCTAAATAAACAAATCAGTTGCTAAGGCCATCGAAAGTTAGCCGGATAATTTTCCGACTATAGGTGCCTAATGAACGTGATGAACACCCAGTTCCACAAGCTATGGAACTCTGATCTCAGCAAAAAGTCACAGTCGAGTTCAAAAAGCATTAAGAAAAAGAAAAAAAATTCGTAAAAGGAAATCGTTCGAACCAAGTTTGAGCTTATTAAGATGCACCTCATATTGTGCTCTTTAAGTATAATTATACTGTACCTTAACATTTGTTCAAGTGGTTCTCCTAAATAAGTCACCAGATATTCTTTGATAGTTTCTTTGACATTCTTTCCACCGTGCGCCGCCTTCCATTTGTTATCCGTATTTTCTGTGATGTTGCTGTAATAATCAGGATTCATCAGGGGTTGAACGAACCACGCTCTTAGTACACCTGCAATGAAAGTACCGCGGATGATCAGTTTCATTTTAAAGCCCACAACACAAAAGGACAACAAAACAGTATTGATCAAAGTGTCCATGTCTCTTTTGGTTGGAAGTATGGACTGGCCTCAGAGCTCAGCAACTAAGTTTACTAATTTCAAGGTTACTTTTTTTTTGGATAATCAATTCATCTGAAAGAGTTAGAAACTTGTACACTCGATGTATGGAAGCCAAACATCTAAACTAATATTTCAGCCACTTCTAACTTAATATTAGAATATTCACCGAAGCCTTAAAATGTTTCGCATGGACCATAAAACTTTATTGGTCGATCAAGGTCTGTAACAGGGGCCAAATTAAGTTTTCCTGTTTATTTGTCTATTTAGCTATTTACTCATGGCGGTATCTTTGTTGATCGGATTGCCACACGACTTAAAACCTTGAAGCCTATACGTAATTGCAATACTGTATCTCAAAAGCAATGCATCCTCGACAACGTCGTGAATAGATTTATAGTGGTTTTATTAAGAGCGCACGCAAAGTTTCAAATATATACATGTACCTTGAAAACAACTCGTGTATTTCTCACTTCGATGAGCAATTCGTGGAACTTAAAGAATTTCTTTCTTAATTGCTCAGCCAAATTATTTTTAAAGGGCCGTGGCAGTGTAGTCCGTTAAATTCAACAAACCTTCAGCAATTTTGAATTCAGGATTAAATTACTGATGGTCCTATCCATGACCTTGGGACGGTGTAATATACTTATGGTTAATCAACTGTTACGCAACATTCACCTTTTTTCCTTACCTGTTGCGTTGTATAGAGAAACATTCAAATAGTATCTTTTGATTGTGTTAATACCAGCTTCACACTCCTCTACACTTCTGACCATTCCTTTGCGTACTCCCATCTTCATGTTCTCGATGAATTGCAAAATGCCAGCTTTGTGAGTTTTCAGTTTTCTTTCGATTAGCTCCACATCAAAAGAATTTTGAGGTTTGTGATGTTTACCTAGTGACATATTAACGGCGTACCCGTGAAAGCAAATTTCCTGCCAGCAAAACGAATTCGGTCCCATCATCCAGTCTCCATTGTAGTAATTAACATCATACGGCTGACCGAATATGTGCTGCAGAAAATGCTTTACCTGAGCAAGTGCCTTCCTCTCGCGGGGTTTCAACGTGTCTTCGTTGATCTTTTTATCATTGATTTCTTTCAGCAAAGCCAGAGCAGTATCCGTCCGCTTTTTAATCATATATGGTGTTGGATCATAAGCAGAGTACTCCGCTTTGATCGTTTCTGTTTTTACTTCTGGGTCTCGGTGCACGTCATAAGGATGAAGTTTATAATACGTCGCCTTCACACGACTAAGAAACTCACCAAGACCAACTCGATTGGCTTCTCTCGAAAACTCGCAGTTGTTTTGATCTCGCTGCCCTGTGGCTTTCTTATCGTTGTTCACTGCGAGTACAATGAGCACAATTCCTGCAAGAAGGAAGATTAAACCAACAGCCAAGATGACGATTGACACAATTCTACCGGCCGAAAAACCACTTGCGGCAGATTTGACATCTTTTTCGTCGGAAAACACCGTTTCTGAGCTTTTATTCATCTCCATGATGCTTATCTTTGTATAGAATCCCTCAACTGAACCTACCTCGCAGTATTTGATAAAAAGCGTTTGCGCTGAACCATACATGAGATTTATTAATGACCATTAACCATTTATAAAAACCGTTGCAATTGGCTGTTGCCCCTCGATTGAATTAGCCACTACCTTAGAGACCGGGGATGAGTGCAGGGTATCACAACATAAATGCAGTAATTAGATCAATATTTCACTTTTGAATTAATATGAGCCTCAATTGTTTTTCAAAAAGTTACACACTTCAAATCTCTTAAGATCATGTGGCTAAGAGTTAAAGTCCCGGGATATCGAGTAAGTATCTTTCTTCATTTATTAGACATACGATCGCATTTACAGTTCATCAAATGCTGGATGCAATGGAAGTGTAAACCTTCTGTCTTTGATGTTGATTCTGGGAAAAAGGTTTATGATGAGAGTGACACACTTTATAATATGATGATGATCTAATGTGATGATAAGAACAAGAGCAAGAGCAGAGAATTCTGACTCAAAAGTAACTAATCGCCCTCAAAGGAAAAACAAAACAAAAATCACAAAAACACTTCGAACTCAGATCGACTTTATTCGAAGTTTACTCCTGTGACAACGCATGAATTTCAACAACTGTTAAATTTTAAATATTGATTTGAGAACCTAACTGATGAAACACCGCCATATTACAACATGCCATAATCAACTGCCTACATCCGGCACGTAAACGTGCTGAGATATTTCTCCATCCACGAGCGTGCGAAGGGAACCGACACCGTGTCGCGGCGCTATATTTCCGAGCGAAATAGAGACTACTGTGTGTGATTTTTTTTGTGATTTTTTTTTCTGTTTTAGCAGCTTGTGGGGGCTGAACCTCTATTGACAGCTTACGCTCTTGAATGCCCGCTGTGCAAGAAGATGTTAGTGCAGGTATCGTTGTCGAGGTCCCCTTAACAAAGTAACGTCGTCTCGGATGTAACCGTGAAACGTAGGATCCAGCCGGAGTCTGAGATTCCATTTTTTGCCACTATGCCATGACGAAGGTGATGGGGTATCGTTTTACCAGGACTTTTGAAACCTTTATAACATTGTTGGTCTCTGATTAAGTGGCGATCTCTGTAATTGCGGTCCAAGGCGTTTCGAATGGAAAAAAAAGTTTTGCCTCAAACTTTGTCCATTAAACTATCTTTAGTAGTAAGTAAATAAAACTACATTGGTTTCTGGAAATACGTTTAAAAAAGATTTTGAGAGCTATCAATAATCAAAGATGCTAGAGCTCCTTTTTGATCTGTTGCGACATCGTAAATTTCAAAAGTTGACAAGCTCGCTCCTCGTAACACATTGCATGCAGCAAGAAATGGTTTGTATTCCTAAATTGTGTCATATATACGGGGTTTGGAAAGCAGTTCAATTTTGACGTGTTTATTCAGAGGTTCGCCATAATCAAAACCACAAAAATTCTGAAGTCACTATGGCGAAAGAAACTATTAAGTGTAAGATGTTTTTACATTTCCGTGTTTTCGAACATGTTATTAGAAGAAATCAACCGGAGTTTTCGATGGTTTGGTCTGGACCTGAGAAATATCACCTAATAAAGAAAGAAAGAGTATTTTTGGCCAATATCAGAAAGCTGTCCGACGATTTCTTGCTGCATGCAGCGTGTTGTCAACTTTTGAAAATTTCGATGGCGCAACGGGTTAAAAAAGGGCCTTTTACAACTTTGATTATTGAGAGCTCTCAATTTTTTTTACTTACCACCAAGGATAGTTTAATGGACGAGGTTTGAGGCGAAACTTTTTGTACGATGCGAAACGCCTTGGACCGCTCTTATACAGAGATCGCCACTTAATTTTGTAAAAATTGGGTAATGCCTGATTTAATAAAAGACTTAACTTGAAACACTTCCGGGAAAATAAATGGTGAAAATGTTTGGATTCTCCATTACTTCGAATCATGGCTTTGGTGTTATCTGATACAAGAAGTATAACAGGTTAACCATATACCAAAATTATAAAATAGGCTGTGGTTAGTCATCGTGGTAAATGACTCTTCAAAAGAAAAAAATATTATCGTTTGTCTCACAATGTGGTCACTTTGTACTTTTTCGAATCTACAATACTTTTTCCGGAACTTTAAGATAACCTCAGGAGTAAATATCCTCCAGACTAAGTAAGTGCATGTACTCAACAGCCCCTTGCCCTCTTTCTTCTCTGATCAGACTTGACGCGGCTAAATTAAAGAAAATGAAACTACTATATCACGTGAGACAACCTAACCTGTAGCTAGTATACTCACTCTAAAGCCTCGTGTCGTGCAAACAAAGTGCAAATATACATAAACTTCTTTATGATGTACGATTTCTAACATTAGCAAGATTGTCTCAACGTTCAGCCATAACCACAAGGGAAAGTTTGTTTCTTTGGAAAGTCACATACCACGGTAAAATCTTCAATTGAAAGTCAATTCTGCGTCTTAAGTGAATGCAAGTTGATAAGAAAACTTGTTTTCATTCATTTGTAAGGGGTAAGGGGCAAGTATCACCTAGAGGAACTTGAGGTTTTGAGAGGGAGAACAGTTTCTCACAAGTGGATTTACTGTGTGTTTGCGCTTTAATCGCATAACCTATTTTTAATGACACAAAAAGGGGGATTAAGCTGCGAGGGTTGGTGCAGGGGTTGGTACTTCATTAAAACAAAGAAAAATCAACAAATCTAAAACATAATATTCCTTTTCCTTTTACTATTTTGAAATGCAGATGATTAATTCATTTCGCCCTAATGGTTGGAGAATACGATAAAATTAAATTCTAATCAAGCCTATACAGACAAACTTTTGTTTTGCAAGTTCGCAAAATGTATCTCAACAATCGTGAAGATGCTACATCATCTAAAACTCGCTTGTTAAATTTACAAAAACGAGGAATCATTTCGATATAATGGGTAGTATAATAAATGCTACGGACAAGAAACGTCTCACGCTAAAGATAATTACAACTGAGGACTTAAGCCATGTTAAATGTGTTCAGGCTGGAGTTCATTCTTCACCATCACTGTCCACTACAATAAACGCACAGTTGTTCATGGTCATTCAAACTAAATCAACAGAATCTATTATGTAAACGTTTTAGCGATGCAGAGCTTACATTAAGGTGCGTGGCTTATTCAAATTACAAAAGCATCCTTCTGTCATTCTTTGTTGTTCACTTATACATTATATATGGTGCACAATGGGTTTCGGTATCTTTTCCCAGCGGCCTACTTTTGCTTTCTCCTTTTCCTCCTCTTTCTTTGGTGGTTTCAGGATGACATCACAGCCTGTTTTCGTTTTGTCCTTGACGCACGCCACATATTTTTTCACGTGATCAGATAGGTACGCTAGAGGAGATGACCCCTGAGCAAGAACCTAGAGAAAAACCGTCAAAATCAGTGCAGCACCACAAACTGGCGTGGGAAACTTTTTGTAATTTTTGGCCATTGAAACCATCACATCGAAGCTGTTATTGCCAGAAATCTAAATTCGCTGAGTGGAGGACTCATTCATGTGCTGTTCCCTCGAAATTTCGCACTCGTACTTTCTTCTTTTCACTCTAATTGCGAAGGAAAGTTCTTTTAGGGGCGTTACTAAGTTCATTATGAACGTCTTTGAAGCAAACGTATTGTTAGACCAACTTACACAATTAGATTTACCTGATAGTGGAAGTCTCGCAAACTGAAATTGTCTCCCAATTCAGTTTTGGCATAATTTCTAGCGTTCTTGATCTGCAACTGACCAATCATGTAAGCGGTTGCTTGTCCTGGGTCGCTCTGATACCGAGTCACCTGAAAGTAGTTGATAGAAAGGAGACAACATGGGTAATGAACACAAGTTGTCATGGCAGAACGAGTCAGAATGATGTGTGTTTGATTGTTAAGACTTAAATCAACAAAGTTTTGCAGCCAATCATAAACTAAAGTTAAAGCCGAGGGTCACACGGTTGCAAACACAAATAAAGTAGTAAGAATCATAAGCTTTTGGTATTGGCGACCAGTCAAATATTTCTTTACTTCCTTAGCGGTTTACCATCTCTCAACTTCCTTTATGTTATTGCCTTGTACTACATACGTAGGAGTCTGGGGGAAGAAAGATTTTGGATTTCCTTAGCGCTAATGAACCAATGACCCCCTTCAATTTTTTACCTCTTTCTTTGCAAGGTCTGTATCGTCCCAAGCATATTTACTGAAGTATTCCAGGGCCTTATCCCGCGAGAATCCAACGTAATGCAAACCAGTGTCAACAATCAAACGAAGTGCTCGCCATACCTTGAGGCAGAATTAAAAGTGCAAAAGTTAAAATTAAACCTCTGCATTCGCCTTATGTATCCTCTGGCATGAACTATATGTAAAACAGTGGTGACACCACCAAGCTGTGAAGAACGCTGGAACCTTACCTTATCAAGCATACTATTTACCAGTTTCTTCGTGAAACAGTAGACCACATTGCGTCCAATCCTACCTGCCACTTCAGCATTCCAAACTTCTGCATAGGTTCTGTCTTATAAGTGTCTGTATCCTCAGCTATTAGTGGGTTTTCAGCGTACAAAGCCCACCCTTCTGTAAACGCTGTGTAGTACGTGACACTATCAAGCCAACCAATAACACCGCCGCAAATGTCACGGAAGTGTTCCACGTTACCCTGAACCTGAGAAACAATTCGTAGAAGCCGTTATGTATAGCCAAGAATTAATTAATCGACTCAGTGAAAGGTACAAAGCCGATAATAATGTATCAAATTAGTGAAGGGGTAAGTTTCTTAAGGAACAGTGTTGCTGCGTCGGTGGAGGAGCATCAAAAGATTAATTCGGTATTATCACCCGAGTCGATAGTGCAAATTGGCTAATGTAAAGAGTTTCTATGCCGAATTTTCAAGTGTCAGCCTTCAATCGCTCTGACGAAGGGCTAACCTGTGTATGATGTCCTGGCCTCGCCTCGTGTGCGTTCACGCTCCATTCAGAAAACCTGGGACCCAAATTTTCCAAGAAAAATGGAAGGTTGTACTTGGCGCTCCTTGTGCAGGCTGAACCCGCACTTTGATAGCTTTGAGCTCCACTGGACGGATTCAGATTGGGCTGCATATCAACCGGGCAGATGGGTGTAGTCGCATAGTCCCCAGTAAAGTGGAATAAGGGAATCGTCTTTGGTGACAGCAAACTCATCACCTACACCGGGTAAAACAAAAACTAATCGTTTTTACCTCTACCTGAAATTTCCTCAGAAAAACCACCAAAAATTAAATGAAGCAAACAAACAACAACAACAACAGTAAAAATACTCGAAAACTTATCACTGAAATAAGCATTTATTTTTGTTCAAACCTCGCATTAGGGAAGGATAAAATTGCGTAAAATAATTATCGCACGCTTTTCATGTGGAAGTCACCTGGCTTCCAAGACCTAGCAGATGGACTTAGTAATTTTACGTAACAAATTGGATGAACCCACCTTCCTAGATTCCGCCATCCACAACTCTAGAGCAGCCCATCGCTTGGGACAATACTTTTTGGCTCCTTCAATATCGCTACATTTCTTGTGTGCCTCTTTATCAGACTCATTTTTAGGGATTGGTTCCGGATTAAAATAACTCTCAGATGAGTTTAGTTTTTTTCTGAACATCGCTACTGCTGTGTCATTATCGTTCATTCCGGTAACAAGTTTTGCAACATCGACAACCTGTAAATGATTCAGCAAAAGGTAACACAACCTGCAATTTTTCTTATAGGTAAGATTATCAAGTTGATTTTGATGCAGGTAGTTTCTCTCTGCAGTAGAAAACGGTTGGATATAAAAGACTGAAAGACATTTATAGACTGTTGCTTTTCCGACTCGATGTTCAGTTCGAAAGCGGCACATCATGTTAACAGTCACTGAAAGTGTAGGGTGGGGCAGAGGGGCAGGAAAGCGTAGAGTTAACCACCTAACGTTTTTAGTAGCTTTTTACTAACAGATCAGTTGAAACAAGTCTTAAAGTTACGAAAATATTGAAGACAAACGGATTGAAAAGCGAGTAAAGGGGGTAAGTTTCTAAGGAAAGTGTGGTGCATCGGTGGGAGAGTATAACAGGGTAGTAGTATTACCAACTGCGTTGACAACGTAAATTGGCCATCGCAGAGAGTTTAAAAGCTGACATTTCGAGCGTCAGCCCTTCGTCATAGGGATGGATGAAGGGCTAAAGCTAGAAACGTCAGCTTTTAAAATCTTTACGGTGGCCAATTTACGTTGCCAACGCAGTTGATAATGCTAAATTTCCCTGGATTGTAAAGTGTTTCTTTTGAGTTTGGTTTCTATTCCAAGGCAACCACCAAAAGTGACATGCGATAAGGCAAGCCAGGATCATCGGCTACTCCGGTCAACTTAAAGGCAATTAATTTAAAGTGATCTGAGGGAAATGCGTAAAGCCAAACCCTTATGCTTAGTGAACTAAACATAAGGGTTCTAAGACTTCTGAAACCGAAATGTTCCTTACCATAGGATAGAGAATAGCGAGCTGCCGTTTTCCAAGTTCATGAACTTCCATCGGAGTCATGTCATTTGTTGTGAAGTACGACATGATTTTGGAATAGGCGAACGATCCATTCAACTTTTCACCTGTGGGCAAGAGTGGATCTGTGGGCTGGGACGTGTTCTCTTTGCCATCAAGCCAAACATACTTCAGCGGAAGACCAGCTAAACCGCTAGATACGTTGCTTGGAACGCAATGACGAAAGTGTTCATATTCAATGTACCTGAAAGTTGACATAATTAAACATCATCTCATCTAATTTAAAGGACAGAAGAAAAGTGCAGCAAAATTATTAGGAAAAAAAATCAGCAGCAAACAGAAAATTTAACAGATACTTCAAACCGCCACCCTTATTTGTTGTGGTTCTCCCTTTGGTTTTCTCAGGTGTAGTAAAATTGTAAACACCTATATTTTTTTCAATTTTTCAAGCAAGAGATTCCCTAACAAATAGTAACTCTTCATTCCTTCTAAAGAGACCATATACCGAAGGCTCTTTACAATATGATTAATTTGAAGGGACAAAACAACCGGAGAAAGGATTGATTCTTGTCGAATTAGAAGAATTAACAAACGCTCGCGTTGTATAAACATATACATTTTTTTAGTTCCTTATTTTTAGTCTTAGTAATCATATCCCTCCTAAGCCAGCTTTGTATCTTCTTGGTTTAATAATCACATCTTAGTGTTTTTCTTTCTAACCACATTGATATTCGGTAGTCTTGCAAGTAACCTACGTAGCTTAAACGGGCACGAGTTGTGCAAACCGACAAGTGAGTAACGCGAGTTCCAGTCGAACGCCTGTCACTCAGATAATCTTACAAGTCGCAAAAATGACTTTAAAAAAATCGAAACATAGTTTCACAAAACACAGAAAGTTTTACTCTCATACCTTAACATCTGTTCAAGTGGTTCTCCCACATATGTCACCAGATATTCCTTTATACTATCGCTGACATTTTTTTCGCCGTGTGCCGCCTTCCAGTCTGTTTCAGTCTCTTCTGTGATGTTACTGTAGAAATCAGGATCCAGTATTGGTTTCACAAACCATGCTTTAAGCACGCCTGCAATGGTTAAACAAATTTGTATGGAATCGTGAGAAAACTAGGGTTGCCAGGGAGGATACTGGGGGTGATTTCCGGTGAAATAGCAACGGATGAGACTTCTGTGCACAAGTTCTGATAAAGCATGTCCTCTCCAGCCTCAATCTCCGAGCAGGCTTTCGATTTCCTGTTTAACGCCAAGAAAACCAAAATGCCGAACGATTCTCACATTTGAGATTAGTACAGAAGCTCTACCCATCTGGAGTTCTCTCGACTTTTTCGTTTCGTGATATTTAAATTATCACTATTTATAAAGTAAAAATTAATATTAATACTATCATTATTAAGTCAACATATCAAATGGTCATCGGATCAAAACCATTTGAGATAAATCCACTTCCAATTGCTTATCAATCGAAATAACCCGCATAGTTGATATGTGATAAATCTAAATCAAAATTGTTAATTTTACAGTAACAATTAGTGATTGATAAACAAAGTTAAACAGAACCAAATCACGACCGTAGAAACGTAATTATCTTTCCGCTGACCAGCTGATTGAATTTTAGACCTTTTCATTTTCATGGTCACTTTGATTCATATGTAAACCGTTTCTGATGACAGTTGCGCAAGACTTGAAGTTGAATACATGCAATTCAATTTATTCCCCAAGCGCTCGCCTCATTGTAAATGTTTTCAATCGATTTGAAGTAAAATTTCATTGATATTAAAATGTTTTAAAAAACGGTGGCGACATTTCTTCTTCTTTTTTTTTTTTTTGATTGCTGTTTTGACATCAAATGTCATTCAATTACAAACATCTGTTTTATTTGAGTCGTCCATCTATCGAGACTGTCTCGAAACATTTATTTTTTCGATCAGGTTTAAGGTTTGCTTGTAACAGAACGCCGCACTTCTACATTAACTTTGAAAAATCACTGTTCCAAACGGGCAATAATGAGCAACTGGCTCAAGCTTCCGCTTACTTTTATCGATAAATGAAGCGCTTCTAAGGTTTTGAGAGCACGAAAGATGGATGAAAGTTGCTCGAGACGAAGCTAGAGAAATTCAAGCATCTCGAGTGCTCTCTAAGCTCTCCAAGTGTTTCATATCTCGATGATGGCACGGCTGACATATCAACCAATCGTTTGGAAACATTTTCAACGCCGTAATTTGAATGTTTTACCAAGTGAAACTGCTATGTTTTAATCCCTACACACGTATCAATAGATTGCGCAATGAAAAGTGGGGCAAGCTTGCACAACAGAATTTGATCACACGAATTTGAACGCGCTAATGTAATAGGCTTTTTACTATCTCATGGCAAGTCAAGTACTGGCCGCTATCAGATAACTTGTCCACAAAACGAGATATTTATTCATGCCATGATCGCCTCGACCATACCTGCAGTGGAGAAGAGTATTCTAATTTTTAAAAATCGCTGGCTGATCTTAACTTTGTTTGCGTGACCATGGAAAACGATAGAGATTTCATCCCCAAAGGCAATTTGCGCTGCTCAGTCGCTTACAGCTGTTAAGAACATCAGTATAAACGGATCACTCGTAGTAAAACATTCAGTTGTTAATTAATGACATCTTTCAGTCATCATTTCCTGACTTTAGCCTCAAAAATGAATAGGAGGGGGCATTGGGTTCTATTAGAAATCGCAAAAAGTGGGGAAAAAAATCATCCAAAACCGCAAAAAATTCGATCAAAACCAAAACCGCATGCAAAACCGTCCATACCGATAAATGTTGACATCCCAGTTATCAAAACCCCTTACGATCCGATACAGTCAGTGACAAGTGCAACTTGCAGAGGTTTCGCGACTATTCGAGATCAGTGGAAGCGCATAATTGGCACTCACATTGAGGAAAAACCGGAACCGAAATGGGAAAAACTGTAAACCATATCGGATACCAAATCTCAGAATCCCATTATGTGTGTGTTTTTTTATTGTTTTTTTTGTTTTCTTTTTCTACTGAAAACCGAAAACCAAATCCTAAAAAACGAAAAACCGATCTAAAAAATAGCCAAAACCGCTAAACCGAGAATCCCGACGCTCCCCTCGAAGAAGGGTGTTTTGGTGAAGAACACAAACGGCCGTCTGTTAAATGCGAACCCTTTATCAACGCCTGCCACATGTCTGAATTCAAGATTAAATTACTAGTGGTCTCTTCTAGTTTCTTGAGGTTGTGTCACATAGTTATGGATGAAAATATTGCGCAACGAAACTCGTTGAAAAGCTATCACTTCCTATTTCCTTACCTGATGCGTTGTATCGTGAAACATTCAAATACTGTCTTTTGATTGTGTTAATACCAGCTTCACACTCTTCTATACTTCTGACCATTCCTTTCCGTACTCCCATCTTCATGTTCTCGATGTATTGCAAAATGCCTGCTTTGTGAGTTTTGAGCTTCTTTTCTATGAGCTCCACGTCGGATGCATTGTAAGGTTTGTGGTGCAGCCCTATGCCATTATGAACAGCATATCCATGGTAGCAGATTTCCTGCCAGCAAAACAAATTCGGTCCCAACATCCAGTCTCCTGCATAGTAATTTACGTCATAAGGTTGGCCGAATATATGCTGCAGATAGTGCTTCACCTGAGCCAGTGCTTTCCTTTCTCGGGGTTGTAACGCATCAGCAATGATTTTCGTATCGCTGATTTCCTTTAGCAATTCCAGGGCAGTGTCGGTTCGATTTTTAATCACAGACGGAGTAGGATCGTAGGCAACAAATTCTTGTCGGATCTCGCTCAGGGTTGCATCAGGGTTCCAATAAACTTCGTAGGGATGAAGTTTGTAGTATGTAGCTTTCACTCGACTTAGGAACTCGCCAAGCTCCACTCGCTGTGCCTCTTCAGAGAAATCACATTGACCTGAAGGAGCTTGGGTCGTTGTTGTAAGGGGTGTCTTTGTTGTTGTTGTTGTTGCAATGGTTGCCTCTGTTGGGGGTGCGGTGGTTTCCTCGGTCTGTCCTTGTTTATCAGTGGATGTATTGCCTGCAGATTTCTCGGTCTCATTCTTGTCGGCTGTTGCAACTGCAATCAGCACGATTCCCACGATGAACAGGATGACACCTATACCAAAAATTGCCATTGTGATCATTCTCTCTTTCGATCGTCCTCCTGAAACCTTTATTTCCGAATCTGGAATGACCATCTTTTCGGAGCTTTTGGAAAACTCCATGATTAATCAGCTAGGACGCTACTACGAGCTCTGACCACAAGATGCTTCGAAACCTTTCTGCGCCTTGTACGACCTGTCACAGGTCTTCCCCACAAGTCTGATATATACCCCCTAAGAGCAATAGCGACTTGATAGGGCTAGAGAAACATATACGACAATAACAAATGGAGTAGCTTAATCTGGGCATGACTCACACCCACAGGTCAAATTACGTCTGATTGTAAAAACAAAGTACTTTTAAGTCGAGGTGATAGGCTTTCCTAAAACTTTACATATGACTCAGGAACAGCAAGGCGAACATTTTTTTTTCTTTTTCAATCAAGGACTAAAGAGGTTTGGACGCAACCATACGCGCTCTCTTTCCTAATGTAGTCTGTTAGTTATTCACAAATCCGTAGAACTAGTCATTGTCATTAATTTTTGTTTATAATGTGAACAAAGAATGAGCTCGCAAGTTGTCATTTTGACGCAGTAATATTTGTGTGTAAGGCGATAACGATTGATGTGATTGGCTCCTGTCAATACCGTCACTTTGTGTTACGTGTTATATTAATAACGAAGAGAATTGTTCATGGATAAAATCCAAACAGGGATCGTCAAAGATTCAAAGCCGGTTCTAATGAACAACTTTGCTCGAGCAGAGACTGCGCAATATTATGCTGTGGCTTAATTTCGCAGACGCTGATCACCGAATACGCTTATCGCAAAGGAGGTTTGCGTTTTAAGTCAGAGAAATGTTAGGCGGCTCTCTTCAAATGAAAAGATACCAAGTATGACAAGTTTGACCTTCGTCCAAAAAAAGAAAAAAACATTTCAAAGCTACAAAGGATGTAAAAACAAATTGTACACCAACTTCAATCTACAATGATGAACATGGAGTGGAAAAATGAGACGCACCTTTTAGGGATTAAAAATCCACAAAATAATTGTGTTCGTGTGTGCTTGAACACGCGTCACGTCACCTATAAAATATAACCCAACCAGTCCTTGGGGGTAACTAGCGATGTTCCTCAACTTTTCCGACTTTATTTCCAACACAATGTCAGTCTTTGTACAAAAAATGATGCAAAGTGGGGATGGGAACCTTTTAAGTACTCTCTGGTACGACTTGCAAAATTATGAGCACATTTTCGCGTCAGACTTATATGAGCCCATATATTTACCCACGGAGAAGCATGTAATAATGTGAGGGATTCGGTTTTCAAATCTGATTAAAGGAATCTTATTATATTGTAAGATTAATTTTTTTTCCATAAAACGATTTATAAAATGCATTATTGCATACGACTCGCTGTTGTATGGTCAAGGGCAAAATGTATTTTTACAACAAATTAATTAATACTAATGTGCCTTACCGCGGATCTAGTGTTCTCCAAATGCGGGCACATCTGGAAAGTCAATATTTCGGTTGTAGGATCTCAAACACTTTCTTAAAAGGCTCAGACACCTCAGAAATGTCAAGTATCCCTATAAACATTCTGTAAGCGGCTGCAGTTGACCCAATACGAGACAACTAAGGATAAACGTCGAATCTTACACAAGGAACCAATATGTTATGAAATTGCAACATCTCTATAAAATCAGAGTAAAAGACCGTGATTTTGACAGAAAACGTATGCTTTAAATATCAGGACGTCATGATTTCAATCTACTTCGATAAATACACAAAACATAAAATCCGGAGGGGATGTAAACTTATGTAAATGAAAAATTTCATAATTCGCTGATATTAAAGCATCTTTGTTGTGAATATTAAATTGTTTATAAGTAGTGTTGATGTGGTCGTGGTATGACTGGCCAGCGGCTACCCTTTACTCGTCGCTTTGCAACAGAAGCCTTCTTTGGCGCATTAAGGATGATGGCACACCCTTCCTTTGCATTGTCTTGCACACAATCAACGTACCTCTCGATGTGGTCCTTGAGGTAAGCGAGTGGTGAGGACCCTTGTGCTAGAACCTAAAAAATAGGAAAAGCGAGGATGCCATACAATTCTCTGGGTGTGATTTGGAAAATTTTGATATTGGATCAACTAATAATCCCCTAATTGATATGTTTGTTTATTCTCATCACTTATCAGCTTGATATTCTATCGATGTTGTAAGGAGAAATTCAGTCTTGGTCGCTCATGGGAGTTAAATGCTTAACGTTTGTGGGCGAGAAAATATTTAATGACGCATTTTCCATTTCTTCTCCGTATGAGGTTTTAACCCTTAAAATCTCCTTTCTGGCATTTATACATCTCGGGGTAAGTGAGTCAAAAGAAACTGGTATAACATTAAGATAAGAACTTCCAGATGATGAATTGTTCGACTCCGATCACCTGTTTTTGGAATCATGTACTATCTCTGAGAAAAGGAGTAACTATACATCTGAGGACCAATTTTCAAAGAGAGAAAACAACATTTCCTGTACATTTAACATATTAACATAGTTAAAAAGCGAAGTTCACGAATGAATGACATCTTTCAGTAAAAGATATATGTATATGTTATTCACGAGCCGGAAGGTCCGTATAGGGAAAAACTGTGCGTAAGGTCTCGGATACCGCCCGAAGCGGTAGGATTTGTGGAATACTGCCCGCTCACGCATTGAGAAAAAAGTAACTACATACATGCAAGACACTCAAATCAATCTTCACCTGGTAATGAAAATCGCGTAAAGAGAAATTTCCCTGCAACTTTTCTTTGGCAAAGTCTCTGGAACTTTTAATATCAAGCTGACCGATCATGTAAGCCGTGGCTTGTCCGGGGTCGCTCTGGTACCGAGTCACCTGCGGGAAAAAACAAAGAAAGAAAAGCAATTATTCTGAAAGAAAATGAATATTCCCCAGCCTCTGTTAAAAAGTGTTTCCTTTTTTACCCTATGCGGCTGTTTTTATAAAGTTACCATAATCAAATGACTATTTTGCTTTTAAGTGGCTTTGAAGAAGCGATAACATTTCCTCGAAGTGGCTACTCGTGAAATGCGATAACCACGACTCAGTACTTTAATTCCATGTTTTCATACCCGCTCCGAACCCTACTTCTAAAGACCACGCACGTGCTTTTTTAAACATGTGCGCAAGCAATGACGAGTTAAGACTGTAGCGCTCTTCAGTAGCCTCCCTCCCTTTGCTAAATAGCTTACGTGTAGCCGTAACCACCCCCTAAAAGGTGAAACCGAAGCGGGGCAACTTCCGTTTCACCTTGGAGGGAGGGAGAGGGTCCGGGTCCGTAGGCTATTTGCCAAACCAATGAATCGTAATGGTTATAGAACCTATAGAGACACTTGCTTAGCAACAAAACGTCCTTCGGAGGACTCGAATAAATAGACAAATATTGGTGAAAAATATCAACAATACCTCAGGAGGATTGAAGACCAGATCCGAGAAAAATCGAGCTTACTTAGTGCGATGAAAAAAACTCACCTCCTTTTGCGCCAAGTCCGTGTTATCCCAAGCAAATTTGTCGAAATACCAAAGAGCGTCTTCTCTGGTAAAGTTAGGGTAATAGTGGAGTCCGGTGTCCACGATTAATCGCAAGGCCCGCCAAATCTGGTTGAAGACAACATGTGAAAAACAAAGTGCAAGAAAAAAAGGTAGACAGAAAACGATGATTTGGTTTGTATTTGATTGGCTAGAAGGGTGACGTGAGTTTTTAATACCAATCATATCCCAGCAGGGTTTGAGCCAGGCCGCGCCATTGCGCCAATCCCGCAATAAAATTTAAAATGTCCCGTCCAAAAATGATTCAGGGGTCAATTTGTCCCCTAAAAAAGCGAGCGATTTTTGCGACAAATTCTACTGAAGTCTTTGTGCCCAAAAAAAGAATTGCAAGAGTTGAAATTCAACATAAATTCGACTATAAACGGCACAATTTTTCAATAAACAATTTGGTTTTAGCCGCAGAATTAATACGCTAACAGCAATTTTTGTGAAAGATAAGAGAAGCAAGATTTAGATGTTTGTTTTGTCTCATTTTGACAACATCGGAAACTGACCAATCAGAAGCAGTCATTCCCACGGCTTGTGTAAACATTGCAACACAATCTGACAGAAATCAGCTGAGTAAAGCGTTGTTTTTTTAACTACAAAATTGTGATTCTAAATAAAAGACTTTTAGACTTATCCTGACTCTTCTTCTCCCAAAACTTCTTTAGTAGTGTTTCATCCAATTCTGGATACTTTGACAAAATGTTCAAAATTTCGGCTTTTTCCCCCGAAATTGTTGTGAGAGAGGCTTCAGTGCCCAAAACAGGATTTAAAATGCATTGAGAAACAGACTAAAAGCCAACAGGTTAGATGTACTTATGACCATAGACATCGAGGGGCCACCTTCTGTGGACTTTGATTTTTCATTAGCCCTTGAAGAGTGGGCTATAAAGAACAGGAGAATTTTGAAATCGTGAAATACTGCTATTATACATGTACATGTAAGATGTTAATTAACTAAGAAGGATCTGCAATGAAATGTGGAAGCAAGAACAAATATGATATTGCTAAAATGATAATGGCACAACAGAGTTGTTGGTCTTGTTCTTTTACAAATAGTCACTTTCTTAATTATTTTAGTGGCCATGATCAGCTGCTGGTTGTAAGAGAATCATACAGTTAAGAGTTTACAGAGAAAGATAAAAAGAAGCATGCCACCTTACAATGTAACTTGTTGCTATTTCATTAAATGTTTAAAATTTTAGTTCAGTTTGAAATTTTCCCTATGCTTAAGCGACCCTCAGAAATGGAAAATGTCCCCCCAAAAATAAGCTAAAGGGACAAATTGACCCTAAATAGTCAAATCCTAGCTCAAACCCTGTCCCAGGACGGAGAACTTAAAAGAAAACTGCTCCATACCATACATACAGGCTGTAGTCTATGTTAATTGAGTGATATGAAATGAGTCTGAGATTCTCTTGCAAGGTTTAAGAGCCTGAAAAAGAATGTCATAATAAAAACAGTGATGCTGAGCAGTCCAGGTCGGTGAAGGGAGAGACACCTCAATTCTTTTTCTCATCCATTTCACTTCCCTATTGCTTTCTTTCGTATGAGGTAAAGACAAGTGAAACAAGACTTAACACTTCCATCAGCAGCACAAGCATACCTGCCACTTTAACATGCCAAACTTCTGCATAGGCTCATTATCATATGTGTCTGTGTCCTCAGCTATAAGCGGATTCTCAGCATACAGTGCCCAGCCCTCTGTGAAGGCTGTGTAATATGTCTCTGTGTCTAGCCAAGTGAGGGCATCACTACAGCCATCTTGAAAATGCTCAATAGTTCCCTGAACCTAAAAGATAATGAAAAAAAAATCAACAAAAATGGAGGAAAAAAGTTTCACATTACCATCTTCCTAAAGTAGGTGCCTCAGATTCACGGATTGACATCTCACAGAGGTAGGAAGAGTACCAAAATTAAGTAATAAAACTTTTTTACATGCATATGTACAAGTAAAGTGGCTGTCGGTGAATCATGACATCCTGTGTAATTACAAGTCACTGTAAGAACAGTCAAATTGGAATGAGTTTGCTTTTTTTGAATAAAAAGATGGAGTAATCAGTACTTGGAAGGAAAAGGGGCTGGAAGGGGTTTTAATCCAATAACTTTAGGCAAAAGCTATCCTTCTGACCACACAATCTTCTTGAAATAAGCTCCCACAATCCTGAAAAAACTCAATGGCCTGATCTTATTTCTCAGAACCAAACAGAACTTCTAATTCAAAATTCCTTCACTTAATTGATATCCTGCCTTGTTACTGGAAAAAATTATCTGCATTCCTGACCTGTGTATGATGTCCAGGCCTTGCCTCATGAGCATTCACACTCCATTCAGAGAACCTTGGGCCCAGATTTTCCAAGAAAAATGGAATATTGTAGATGGCATTCCTTGAACACTGTGGGTCACTATTTTCATAACTTTGTGCTCCACTAGATGGGTTGAGGTCGGGTAGGAGGTCCACAGGGCAGTTGGGTGTGGTATGTTTAGGACCAGTAAAGTAGAACATATCCACAGTTTTTGGATCCAGCATGCTCATTACCTAACACAGGTAGTTAAATAATTGATTTTTTGTCTTTTCCACAGAGGAACCTTTGTTCACAATGTTGACCCTTAGACAGTCATGTAAGACATTAATACTTGTAGCTCCACTGTAGCACAGGGAAGGAGGTTGGTAAGTGGGTGGATGAATGGGAACCTCCCATCCCATTGGGTGCTACACATTGAACCATCAAACCTTTTAGGCATAGTCCAAGATGGCCATCGTCTTTTGTTTCCAACTCATGTTCAACTCTTCAACCCTCCCCAGAAATGACATCTTATGAGTGATTGGTGTCTACAGATCCCAGGTACAATGATGCACTCAAAGGTTGAGTCATTCAAGTCCCCTCTTCACATAAACATTTTCAAAATTTACCAACCCTTCTGGCTTCCTTGAACCATAATTGCATCGCAGCCCACCGTTTAGGGCAATACTTTTCTGCACCAGTAAGATCGCTGCATCTTTTATGCGCCTCTTTGTTTGACTCATTTGCTGGAATTGGTGCATCATTAAAAAAGCTTTCAGTGGAGTTAAGCCTCTCTCTGAAGAGTTTCACAGCCAAATCACTATCATTTGTACCTGTCATTTCTTTGGCTATTTCTACCACCTGGAAAATAACAAAAAACATTTGCATTCAAGGCATGGAAAATGAATAGTTTCAGGATATCATCAAATACCTGTCTCAGACAGATCTTGACTCCTTTTGTTTTGAAAGTTTGTGCTTTTTCTGAGACAGATGCACTTAGTAAAAGCACACTACAATGACAAAGATCACATTCAAGCTTAAAAGTTCATATGAAATAGTACAGACAAAAAAAGCCACGCTAAATGAATTAAATTTGACAAAACATCACAAGTGACCCAAAATTGATGGTTGCAGATTGCTCTGCATGCCCTCTTTCCTCTCTCAAATTTTCTAACAATTCTAACATTTCCATGACTGTCATAAAAGCACAAAAATAACACATGAAGATTCAATTTAAAAATCAAAAGGGTTGTACTCACCAATGGATACAGTTTTTCTAATTGCTTTTTTCCCAGGTCATGAACATCAGATGCATTCATATTATTAGTGGTGAAGTATGGCATGATTAGGCTGTATGCCTTGGGACCATTCAGACTTTCACCGGTTGGCAAAGTTGAATTTGTTGAGTTGTTCTTGTCTTCTACACCATCATACCAAACATGACTCAGCGGCAGTCTTCCTAATCCACTTGAAACATTACTTGGTACACAATGGTGAATGTATTCATTTTCTAAATACCTGAGAGATAAGATAAGAGATATTTTGAAAACCAAAAGATGATCTTGAATGTTTGCCTGTCACTGCAGATTCAATCATGCCAATTTGATAAATTGAGTCAAGAAGCCCACACTATTGGAATCTGTGTGCTTTCCTTCCTACTTATGTGGCCCTTGCTTAAATCCAAAACCTGGTGTGAAATGTGGGCCAAGTTTTCATGTTACTGTTTCTCACCCTTACTCAAAGATTTGCCAATAAAAACTCTCTCTACAAAAATTATCACTCCAAAATTCATACTTGGAACAGAAGCAGTGTACAAAAAGCTGCCCCTGTAAATAGGCCTTTATGGATATCCATTTACAATTTTATGTACCTGAGTTCCCTTATATCAATCAGAGGTCCCCTTACCAAACCCACAAAGCCTACTCCATAAAGATCATACAATAAAAGTACCAGATAAGCTGATGCAGGGGTTTTCCAAGATAAGTCAATAGATAGTCTTTAATTGTTTCATTAATATTCTTGCCATGCTCTTTCTTCCAAGCCTGGTCAACTTCCACAGGTATTAAGCTGTAGAACTCAGGATGAATGGCAGGTTCAACAAACCACTCTTTCCAAATACCTAAGAAGGCAAGTATTTCTGTGAGTATAGGTGGGCCTTGCAGAGATTTAAGTTCACAATAAACTTTTCCTCATCCTCAGCACTCTAAATACCATACTGAACAAACAAAAGAGATATTGGATTTACAAATTTTAGTTGGAATTATTGTTTTACCCTCCAACTATTTTTACAACTCCCAAGATCTCACTGTTAATTCTCCCCTCTAGGGGGTTTCACATTTCTTTGTAAATAAGTTTGGAGAATTTAGTGTTAGATCAAAATAACAACTTCTACCTGATAAGTTAGATTATTCTCATTACCTGCTTGTTGGATAACGTATAAATGTTACAAGAAGAAGTTACATGTTAATTACTTCTGGGAGTTAGATGGCTAAGGCCTCATTTTTACTTCAATCCTCTTATTTACAAAATGCTAATGAAGGACAAAATCCAAATGTTACACTCTGATGATCCCTCACAGGTCTTCAACAGGTGTGGGAAATATAGACACAAATATGGAATATTTGTCTGACTTTTTTTTTTAACATCAAGATTTGCTCATCCTTAATCAAAAGTAAAAATCGGCTAGTTAATAACTAAATTACAAATGATAAGGAAATTTGCCAGTTGTAATGAGAGCTACTCATATAATTACTGCCAGATGCAATGACAGGGGGCATATATTGACAAATTTTAGACTTGTCAATGGTTGAAGAATTCTGGGCAAGATTTCTGTATAACCCCAAACATGTCTTTCATTATGCATACAGTCCTTTCATAAAAGCAAACGCTGGTAAAATAACTGACTACCTTGGGGACTAATGGCTTTGTTTTAGGATCGCTTTCATTTTCTGACCTACATACCGCACCTTTGTAATTTTCTTTTACGCTGTGGGTGTTTCATAGACGAATTCTTTCAATAAAAACAATTATTAGGTTACAAAGAGGAAATGTTGTAAGGCAATAGTTCGTTTAGCCTGAAGTACTAAGACTTGGTCTTATCATTCATCACCTCCATTTAATTTCCACATAACAATCTAAATGTCGTTAATGGTGTGTGAGCTTTCAGGGGGCATTCAAGCGTACGGATGATCCGAGGTTGTTCTAAGGCAAGGATTATCATAGCAAGCGATGCTTAATCAACCTCCACGCATACCGAACAGCTTAACTCTACATGCCATATCTGACCTGAAGCCAAACTCAAACAATCTTGGGAGAACAGATGTTATGGATCAAGCAATCAAGCTCGTCAAGATAGTTAATTACACGAAAGCGACTATCAAAATCAAATGGCAAAATTTTGACCTTTGATTTGCGATCCATTCCATACTCGCGTGACAAATCGACGTGTGGTCTATAACTTTTAATTTCCTGATCATTGCGATCAATCTATATTCATCTAACTAGGAAAAACTTGAATAAACGTTCATTTGGTAACTTCTAATTTTCAGGACAAGTCATTTGAGTGAAAATCAAGTGTTGACTTTTGCCTCTTAGGGTAGACGTGCCATCGTGACCCAGCAACAAGAGTATACATTTCTTAAAATTGCGAGTCGTGCAACAAGATGGACAAAGTGTTGAGCAAGCCACCTTTGGAACATCGATAATTCAAGCTTTGTCGCAACCTCTCAGCTCAAACGAATTGTGTAATCGACCATTTAATTATAGCTGAGTTATACCATTTGTTTATAATACTCTGCATAATTTCTTTGTGTGCAAATGCAAATTTGTTCTTTTGACGATCAATAAAGCGAACACAGCTATGAATGGAAAGTTTGTATTAGTGGCTGAGAGAGTATTACGATTTCAACTTAACGCGAAACAATGCAATACTTATTACTTATATTGACGATTTTGGCAATATCGTGAAATACGTGAGTCGTTTCGTGAAGTTAATGAAAAAACATTTTCACACGCCAACATGAAATTTGATACTGATGCGCAAATTAAATGTTTGTAAAATTGCAATCTTACATGTCAATAAATTCCTTACCTGTCTCATTGTAGAGGGAAACATTCAAATATTTTCTTTTCAGTGAATCTGTGCCGGCGACGCATTCCTCCCTGCTTCGAATCATGCCTTTCCGAACTCCCATTTTCATGTTGTCGATGTACTGCAAAATTCCTCTCTGGTGCGTCGCTAGCTTAGATCTGATAAGTTTCACGTCTGCCTCGTTGGTGGGTCTATGGTGAATTATGGCGTTGTAAAAGTCGTACCCGTGATAGCAAATAGGTTGCCAGCAGAATAAATTCGGTCCCATCATCCAATCCCCGGCGTAATAGTTTACATCATATGGTTGACCGAACGTGTGTTGAAGGTAGTGCTTCACTTGCGCCAAGGATTTCCTTTCTCTTGGCAACAAGGCGTTCATTTTGACATGCTCGGTTTTGCGCGTAATTTCTTCAAGCAAAGCCCAAGACACATCGGTGCGATTTTTGATCACAGATGGAGTCGGATCGTACGCCTCATAGTCTCTTTTGATCCTCTCGGAACCTGCTAACAAATCTGTATTCATGTCTGGATGGAACGGAATACTAAACGGATGCAACTGAAAGTATGTTGATTTCACTTTCTTCAAAAATTCATCGAGGCCAACTCTCTGGGCTTCCACTGAAAATTCGCATCGCTTAGGTATTTGCTGAGTGGGTTGCCCTGTTGTAGGCACCTCAGGTCCCTTTCCACTGCATTCCCGGTTCGCAAAATGTGCCAGCGCGAGTAGAATGACTCCGATTATGATGAGACAAACTCCCAATGCAATGAGCCCAAAAATCACCAGCTTTCCTCCAGAAAGCCAAGATCTTTCATGCTGGTACCTTACTTTCAGGTCCACCTCGTCCATGAGCATGCCGTCGCTATCCTCTGCCTTCTCAGCCATAGTTTACGCTTGTGCGCCTAAAGATAATTGTTCAAGCAATAAAAACAATCGAAAGGTCAACAGTTGGTAATGAATGACAGGCGCGGCCGAGGTGGCTTGGGGCAACACGGGTCAGCACATTCGATGCAAGGTAAACTGAAAAATAAAATTAAGGCAAATGGAGAATGAATAAAAGTGAATTTAACTCAGAAACCGTTAGCCTTAAGCTTTTAAAGTCCAAAAGCGACCCTATTTGCAGCTCTGTGTAGATTTATTTTAGACGCGTGCAGTTGACGTGTGCTCCCCCAAGAGGATTGCCCTCTGCCAATCAAGCGGGATTTGTATATATTTTTGTCCTTTAATCTCAAACATAAAAAATAGAAGAAAAAATCTGACGTATCTGGAAGCCTATCAAGAGTCCCTGAAAGAAGTTCCAGGTGAAATTCAATATCAATGTTCCTTGGATGTTTTTGACAATAATAATTATAATAATAATAGTTTATCATAACATTTTTTTTTCCATTCTTAGGTTTTTTTTTGGATACATCAATATTATCCTGACGGATTTAAGAAAATGTCTTTGCCGTAGCAAAAAGGAAAGTCATCATAAAAACCAGTTAAAGTTAACAGAATATTTAAAATATACGTAATCGGACTTTTGACCCGTCAAGTTAATGCATCAGCCGAAAAGCTGCGGTCCTCAATCGCTGAATTTGGTTTCAATTTGTTGATTTTGACATAAATATTCATTCTTGAATTTTGCTAAAAAATGGCGACCATAAACGGCTAGTTACATGTACCTCTCTCAACGACCTCTGATGCTAGGTTGTGGTGGGGTGTATTCAGAATGGGGTGATTCACTAGGAAAAAGGGATTCTTTGCCAAGTGAGAATTTCAAGAATACCCGCTTTAAAGATATTTCTCCTGTCAAAAGAAATAAGGCGAAGAAGGCGCTTCTTCTCCACTAATTGAATGGAATATTTCACATAAGCTATCCATTTGTGCCTACACTCAAGGTCTAACTCGGCGAAGGCGACAAATTCAGCTTGCATTCAAATTAAGGTGTGCGTGAAAGCTATTACAATAGTGTATTTACAAGTGAAAACTATGCATGCTATGCATTCAGCCATGACAATTAAATCGTTTTGGCTTCGTTTCATCTCTAGCGTCTTCGAAACCAAGCTTTTCTAAGCTGATCATAGCTATAACGCTACCTGCAAGGTGCCAATCTTCGATTTCCTACATCAGCTCTTCGATGAGAGACCGTTATCGTCAACCTTCATCTGTTTTTTAACCGACGCCAAGAGAAGAAGCTCTATTTCCTACTACTATTTTTGGCGATTCCTCTGATCTTGCCGTGAGGCCGCAAATACTCAAAGGACTAGAAATTAATTATGATATTAGCTGCAGCTGCAGTTTGTGGGGCCGAAACAAGCAGGGGATCGCATGTCAAAGAAACAGAGCCGTGCTGAGTGTCAATCAACCGTCATCATAAAACTTTTAACAAGCTGAATTAGCGATTTGAGGCTCAGCCCGGATATTCCTATCAAAGGAACTCGTTGAGGTAATCTAGAATATTTAGTTTAAGTAAAGAGGGAACGTTTCTTGAGAAACTGTGTTACTGCGTCGGCGATTAGCAGGGGTATGATGGTTTTATCGATGGCCAACGGAAAGAGACTCTAGAGCTGACGTTTCAACCGTTAGCCCTTCGTCAGAGCAAATCTGAAGGGCTAACGAACGAAACACTGCCTTAAGAAACTTTCTTTAATATAAATGGTCATGCTTAAATCAAGAAGATCGCTAGGGAAGCCGCACTGTCAATCTTCGGTAACAACGTCGGAAGATGCATGTTTGGCTCATTTCGCTCGACTTTTGTTTTGGGAAACACGAAATGTATCTTGTTGAAATAATCCAATTTCATTTCTCGTTCCTCGAAACAAATAAACTACGTTTGTTCGGTGTGGACAAAAATATTAGACCGATCGAAAAGTCGCATGCGTGTTAGCGTGTTGTTTACTATCCGAACAAGAGAGGAAAAGAGAATGAAGAAAAATTGAATGAAAGATTCTCTTCAGTTCTTCTGGCGACATGCAGCCAGTTTGAGTTTCTCCTCTGCGGAACTGTTTGCTTTCGTTAGGCTGTGATTAGAAATTTGCAGAATAGGAGTCAGAAAGTTGCCTTCAACGATAAACGGACCCGTAAGATATTGTGAGAAAAACAATTGTTTGCATTTATCATTTCATAAATTTCAAGCGGTTAACGATGACCAAAAAATTATAGCATCTTTTATGCATGGCCAAGAATTTTTTTTTTCAGAGATTCAAATCGCTATCAAGGATATTATGGTGGCAAAAAATTCACCTAATGAGGGAATTACAATATATTTATCCTGAGCAAAGCGAATATAGCATAAATATGTCATCAAACATAAGGAGAAAAAGGAAAAAAATATATGAGGGAATGACACATGCAAATATTCACGTTATATTGGGGCTAAGTCGTAACCATGGTAAACTAACATGAACAGATCAGGTTCAAAATTTGAATAATAATCTAGTTCACGCAAATGGACAACTATTACTAAGTTGTCGTTCCTTCCGATCGAGGCCTATACAATGCATCTAGAAGCTAACAGTCTCTGTTACGATGTCACCGCCCACGCACGCCATAGTCATTGTCATCGTTTTCACAACAGAATTATTATCGTTATTATCGACTATGGATAGAAAGGAGGTTTATATGTAATCCTCTCGTGGGGGTTTTTCTATGGGCTCGAAGCTTTCTTGCCCAATCACCCCGAGAAATTCAGTGACTTGCTCTTCCTCTGGAACAACAGGGTTTAGAACAGCATCGCAACCTTCTTGTTCCTTTTCCTTTGCACATCGAACATACTCATGAATACTGTCCTCCAGAAAGCTGATTGGAGCAGATCCTTGCGCTAAGAGATAGAAGTGAAAGTCTTTAAGGTTGAAATCGTCACCGAGTTCCTTAGTGGCGTATTTTCGCAGCTCCAGAATTTTAAGCTGACCAATCATGTACGCAGTTGCTTGTCCAGGATCGCTCTGATATCTTGTGACTTCTTTCTGAGCTATGTCACTCGTATCCCACGCGTAGTCGGCGAAGTAACGGAGCGCCTGAGCTCTTGAGAAACCTTTGTAATGCAATCCTGTGTCTACAATGAGGCGAAGAGCGCGCCAAACCTGAAACAATGTAATACAGTCAAACCTGCAATAACCCTTTCCACCCTATTATCAGTTTGCCTATTCTCCATACTGTTCTCTAAACATTTCACAAGGTTCTGACAAGGAGAATTTGTTTCACAATCAAGAGCCTCTTTGGCTGGTGGTCATTTCTCTATCCTCATGACCTTAATGTGTGATTCAGGGGTAATTTTGTATGAAGAAATTACATGCTAATCACCCTTAGGGGTTAAAAGGTTAAGCAATTACCAACGGGAAATGGTGGGTGACCGCTTGATACAGGTTGACCGCTCAACACAGGTTCTACAGAGGAGGGGCAATATTAAAAACGATAAAAAAACGCCATTTTATGCCATATTTGACCACTAAATGAACAAACACTCGCTCAAAAATACTATTAACATTGATTTCGTGAGGGAAACGTTTCGATTAAATTTCGCTTGAAAGAATATTCTTAGTCAGTTATTGGAGTGGTTCCGCCGTAACAGACCGTTCAATACAGGTGGAGGACAATACAAACAGGCCGTTAGGACTCAGTCAAAGGTGACCACGACCGCTTAAGAGAGGTGACCGCTCAATAGAGGTAAAAAATCAAGGGGAAGCAAATTTGGGATCGTGATAAATGGACCGTTAAGAAAATATGATATTCTCTTGCGGACCGCTTGATACAGGGTGACCACTTAATACGGTACTGGCAATGAGGACGATGTAGCAACAATAAAAATTATGTCTCTTTTCGTAATTGAACTAACAAATTCGTCCCTCCCGTCATTCCCAATTAATAATCACAATAAAAACAAACAAACAGACTCCAAGCAAAATTAACAGGCGAGTGAACGAAAGAACAGAAAAATCAAAGGGTAAGTGAAGAAAACAACCAGAAAACAGAAACGAAAACAAAACCAAAACCAAAAACAACAGCAATAACAAATGTCGACAGTTCAAATTTTTTTCCCGCGCATACCTGCCATTTGAGCATTCCGTATTTCTGAAGAGGTTCCTTTTCATAGACGTTTGTGTCGCGAGCAATCAGTGGGTTCTCAGCATATAATGCCCAACCCTCTGAAAAGGCAGTGTACCTGGTATTAGTGTCTAGCCAACTAATCACACCTCCACAGCTGTCTTGGAAATGCTCGATTAAGCCTTGGACCTGAGTAAAGAAGGAAACATATATTACTGTTAGCTGCTATGGGGCTAGTTGGCTTCAGTTTTTTACCTGTGTAGTTTATACCTGTGACCCTCTTAGAATCGGTGTATCACACCTTGGTCGGAGGGATATCTGTCCCTCTTGATTTTCGTCTAAGGAGGTAAAGGAGGTGACTGCGGAGGTGGCTGAGGAAATGTCTAAACCTGAGTGGTATTGAAACTTTTAACATTAAGCCTTAAGCATGTACCTTTAAACAAGACACGGAAAACAACATTTTAACTTTCACATAGCCCAAGTCAAACCCATCTGAGTCATGTGTATCTTTGTGGAACCTAAATTGGAATACTCTACGTCTGCTACCTGAGTGTGATGTCCAGGTCTCGCTTCATGCGCGTTGACGGTCCATTCCTCATACAAGGGTCCAGGCCTATCGAGAAAAAACGGAATTCTGTAACGAGAATTCCTGGTACAGTCTTTTGTACTTCGCAAGTAACTCTGTGCACCGCTTGACGGGTTGAAGTTTGGCGCCATGTCCACTGGACAGTTTGGTGTGGTGTATTTAGAGCCCGAAAAATAAAACATGTCTATTGTCTGAGGATCCAACATACCCATCACCTGGAAGAAAAGAAGAAAATAAAGGGATTGATCAGTTTGATCAGTTTCACGTGGAATGGGCAGAAGTTTGGAAAATGAAGAAGATGAAAGAAGATGAGAGGTGGGTGTGACGGTGTGTTAGGACATTAATTTACCAAAGGTTCCAAACCTCGATATTTTATTACAATAAATAACGGATGAATGTTATGACACAATTCATGGATATGGATCGGAGATTCGAAATCTGTAAAGTAATGCGTCAACAAATTAGTTTCAGTTCATATCGATAATATCGAAAGAAATCAAGGTAAATATTTACCCATTGGTTCTAGGTGTCCATAACACTGTCTAGCGATAGAAAATCTTAACAATTATATCTGTTATGTCATCAAATTATAATGCGCAAAGAAATTAGAATTTTGCGCAATACAGTGGGGAAAAGGAAAGGGAGATTGAGGGGAGGGAGGAGGGGGTGAGAAAAGAATAAAACGAAGAGGAGGAGGAGGAGAAAAAGGAGGAAAAGGAGAGACGAGGAATTATGGGAGAGTGAAAAGGGTGACGAGTGGGAGGAAGAGTTTGAGGAAGTGGAAGAGGGGGAGATGGGAAGTGGAAAGGAGGAGAAAGGGGACGCTGAACACAATTTAAACGAGGGGGAACACGAGAAAGTTTGAAGCAGGAAAAAATGGGAAAAGGAGTACATCAAATCAAAGTAGGCTGAATAATTCTTTCCCCAAGATTATGACAATGTACATGGAACTCAAGTGAAAAGAAGGACCATAAGGTGGCTTAAAATGGTTTAGCCAACCAGTTTATATCACATCACAGATGCATTACTATCGCCACATACCTTCCTAGCTTCCGCAATCCACTTCTGCATGGCTTCCCAGCGTTTTGGACAATACTTCTTCGCTCCTTCCTCAGAGCTGCAGAGGTTAAACGCATTTTCGTCTGATTCGTTGGCAGGGATTGGTTTGTCTGTGAAGTACATGTCTGATTGATTCAGGCGCTTGATGAAGAGGTCCTTTGCAGTGTCATTATTGGCCTTGTTCGTCACACTGCGTGCGATTTCAAGAACCTATGAGAAGTATTTTATTTTCGCGTATTTATTACCTACAAGCGACAACATCTTACAACCTAGCTAACCAGCCTATCTAGTCCAACTTTCAAAGGATTTTTCTTTATACGTGTCACATTGTTGGGAAAAACCAAACCATAGTTCGAAGAAAGCGTGCCTCACCTTCAATGACATACACAATGCCCAATACAACAAGCTTTATTAACTGATGATTTCATTCAGCTTCAACTCCAAATTTCTGCGGCAATTTCCTCAAGGAACAATCCATCAACAAGAATGTTAATGTTCAAGTAAGTGCTGGAATAAGTCGATAAATACTGTGTATTTCCTACCAATTCCTCTTCAATATCGGTATAATTGTGTAAATACGGATGACAGATGGTCAAAGGTTATCTTAATTTCGAAAAGGAAAAGATGATTGAGAATGGGCTACCTCTGGATACAGTTTCGCTAACATTTCGTTCCCAAGTTGGTGAATTTCGTCCGGTGACAAGCTTGTTGTCGTGAAATAAGGTAGGATCGATTCGTAAGCTTTCTTGCCGTCCAACGTTTCCCCGGTTGGCAGCTGTTTGGTTGTGCTCACCGCTGTTCGACTCCCATTTACGTACACAGATGAGAGTGGAAGCTCTGCCAGACCGCTGGAGATGGAGCTCGGCACACAGTGCATGAGGTTCTCTGTTTCTAGGAATCTTGGTTTGAACGGATAGTGTGTATTAAATCTCTATGATTACTTTATCTCTGAAAAGGCCTTCATTGTCTGATTATTACATGGCCTTCAAACAAGAGCCACACTCTTCCCAAAGCGTTTTTAAAAGTTATGGTGGTTTGAGTGGAGCGCGAAACATAATTGTTTAGACAAATAATTAGTTCTTGTTTTTAATCCTTGAAGCTGTTATTTGTCTGGAACAAACTTCGTTGGTGGACTTTTTTCAACTGTTCCTTTTGTTATGAAGTGCGTGGAGAAGTGTAGAGAAGTGTAGAGGGGGAACTCCGTAGCTGAAGAGAGTGTTTAGCAGCACAGGTCTGATTCTCTCGGCAGAGAGAATCAAAGTGTGAGAGTCTAAGAGATTGAAAACCGAGTAATTTAATAAAGAAGAAAAAGACAGTTCGAGAGTCTTAGTGCCCTTCTCTTAGCGTGGTGCAATACGTAGCTAGTTCCCCTCACGTTTGATGGTGTAACGCCTTGTAAGGTCCTTCCCCTTTCATAATCAACACCTTATATCACATCTCCCCCTAGTGGGGTCGGTGGGGTGGAGTAAGGATTGTCGGTCGCAATACCAGTATACCAATTAAGTGAACAGATGCAGAAAATCAAAAAGGCAAAAACAAAATAAACCAACCTGATTACATCATGGATGGGTCTACCAATATATTCTTCGGCGTATTCCCGAATGGACTCGTTTACAGTCTTCCCATTGTCCTTTTTCCACTCGTCCAAGTGGGATGGTTTTAAGTCAGATACGAATTGTTCAGAAAATATTGGCTTCATGAAGTATTCGTGGTGAATCCCTGGAGAAAACAGACGTATTGCAATTAATCTCGGAAAAAAAATCTACATCTCAATGGCTCTCAAATTTATGTTCACCCTTACAGCCAGAAAACGCTTCTACTTTTTGTTTTTTCGATACGCTCGCTGCACACCCTCTCACTTTCCCACCTCAGGCCCCAATTACTAGCGCTTCGACACGCGTGTTTGTTCGCTCGCGGGAAAGTTTGAGGCCTTGTGACTAGCCGGCGAGAGGTCTGAAAGGAGTGAGGGCATTCGAGGGTGCTATGCCAATATTTTCACATCTTGATAGTTAAATGTGTCAATATATTAGCCAATATAATATCAGAAAAGTGTTAAGAATCATGACACCATATCAAACGGGGAGAAGTTTTGTTCAAAGACAGCGTCATGCATCGAATGAAACCAAGCCTCATTTTTAGTGCAAGTGCCAGACTCCCAGCAAACTTCTCCGCGACTCGTCTCAAGTCTCTCCACGCGAAGGAACACAAATGTGTTGCGAAGAACATATTGCGTGCAAGCGACATAGCGTGAGTGCAAGATATCTGAACGTAGGTTCATAAAAAGACATTACAGTTTTTTTTTAAGTTTGCCCTTTGCTCTTTAGTTAAAAAACATGACATACCTTTTACGCCTTGCAGCGATACTTGCAAATACCTTCGTTTGAATGATTTAAGTCCAGCACTGCATTCCTCTTTTGAGCGCACCATACCAGCTTTGACACCGATCCGCAAGTTTTCGATGTATGTCGAGAAAGTGTGTGCCACTAACTTTGTCTTATCAAGAAACACACGTAATTGAGTTAGGTCTCGCGGGTGTAAATTTCCAAGACCCATTCGGATATCGTAGTGCCCAACGTTGCAAATTGGTTGCCAACAAAAAAGATTCGGCCCCATAAGAAAATCGCCAGCGTAGTAATTTGAATCGTAGGGTTGTCCAAAATTGTTTTGGAGGTAGTGCTTGACTTGCGCCAGGGCTTTTTTCTCACGCGGCTTCAAGAAAAGCGTGTTAACACCCAAATCTTTCAATTGCTTTACCAGTTGTCGCGCAGTGTCCGTGATTCGCTTTAAGTTTTCGGGTTCTGGATTGTACGGTTTGAACTCAGCTAAATACTCGTCTGGTTTTACACCACCGGGTTTGAAAATTAAGTCTTGAGGGTGAAGTTCGAAGTACGTGTCTTGAACTTTTTGGAGAAATTTATCTAAGCCCGCTCGCTTCGCTTCTGAGGAATAACCACATCGACCCGTCTCAGGTTCTTCGCTACGTGTACATTCCTCATTATTGGCTTTTGCGATCAAAACAATTCCAACGATAAGAAGAACGACTCCAGCTAAAGCGACAACTCCAGCGATAAGCTTTAAATTATTACGACTTTTCAGCTTTGCCATTATATTCCAGCCAGTTAACAACGATGGATTCTTGTGTTTGTGTTTACATCGAGTGAAAGACACCTCTTGCGTGACAGACACTTGATACGGTTCATCAACCGACTTCTGACGTGTGCAAAAATACAGCTAAGTAATCTATCTTCTCAAAGTGACGTTGACTGATGAAGTTTTTAAGCCGCTCTCTTTGATCGAGAAAATGTAAAGGCAAGGAACAGTCAATAGACCACTTTAGTTGGTATGTTTTTTTATTTTGTGGATTAAGAAGGCTTTCATATTCATTTGTATGTTTTGTTTACCCAATTATCTTATCTTACGTAAATTGTGGTACTTAGGCAAATGAATGGAGGCAATTTAAGTTACTTCCCACCTCCCAGGGTGTCCTTCGGGAAAAAATTCGTACGCGCACTATTTCACTAAAATCATAGCAAATTATACATCAGAAGAAAGCTTAATAACTGCAGTTTACTATAAAAATATAATTTAAGCGACATTTCTTTAAAGAAAGTGTCAGGAGCCGGGAAGGCGTGAAACGACCGCGGGTTCTTCTATTGAATTTATCGGGTATCAGATGCTGCAGCACGAGCAAAATGGCTGCGCAGTCTTATTCACAAGGCATCAGTCAACAAAATTGAGTCTAGCTCTTTCGATTTTCTGATTGGTTGTCTAGATATCGGCATCTAAAGCTGGAGTAGCCACAAATATGCGATTCGTGTTGCTTGAATGGACGTCACGGGATATTTCAAATATCAAAATTTCCCGACACACTTTCGTTTGTCATTATTAATGTTTTGGCAAAATTTGACGAAATCAGTCAAATCTGTAGACCCTATAAATTCGCTCAATGTGGTTGTATTCCTCCTAAAATCAAATGCAATTTTTTTAGCTAATATAGGTTCGCAAACAACTCGCGACACGCCTGGGGATTACTTCGCTTCCTGAAACCGCAAACCAATGGGACAACTTGACCTCGTGGCGTCGATGACGATGGATCAAGATTTAACCCATTGCGCACACTTTTTTGTTTTTTATCTCAATCGCTCAGTGGAGCGTTGAGGACGACACAATAACAAAGAAAGTTGCCGAAGGAAAAGGAAAAACCCGGCAAAATGGCCAGCGTTGAGCGCCGCTAGTACTAGTCGCTTTCACATAGGAATTTTTTTTTCTTGACAGAATGGTACTTTTTCTTTCTTCTTTGAGCATTTTTTTCTTCTTCTTCTTTTTTTTTTTTTCTAACAAGGACTTTCTTCCGCCTTTGGTTTTTCCTTATTTTTCCATAAGCAAAGAGCTTCCACGTGTGAATTTTGTCAAGTGCGCGATGTAAACAAAATATGGAAATAACGTGAAAAAAGAGCTCCACCAGGAGTTTCTCTCTCAGCCAAATTGTAGCATCCTGAGGAAAAAAAACGAGATGACGGGGCTTGGGAAAGTAACCCATGCATAGCTCAACATGATAATGGCAGTGAACTCTCTTTATTTTCGGTAAAATCATATCATACAAATTAGTGCTGTAGCCCAAGCAGTGGTTGAACGAATCTGAAAACCATACATCGCAGTTTAATCTATAGTTGTAGGCTTAGTCACAAAACGCCAGCCGTATCTGCTTCAATTCTTGTGTTCAGTTAATATTGTTGCCGCTTCTTTTAACCTAGTCTTATCCTATGCATATCATTAACATTGCCTTCAGTCTTTTCTTTTTCGTTGCTGTAAATTTCGTTTTGATCATCACTCTCCTTATCATCCAAATGGTCATCGTCACTGCTGTACTTCTGTAACTGCTTGTTGCTGGGTTATATGTAGTCTTCTAGGAAGGGTCTCTCTATTGGCTCGAAGCTTTCTTCCCCGACCACTCCCACGAACTCATTGACTTGCTCTCCTTCGGGAGCCACGGGGTTCAGTACATCCTTACATCCTTCTTGGTCCTTATCTTTAGCACATCGAACATATTCGTGAATACCTTCCTCCAGATAGCTCAGTGGAGCAGATCCTTGTGCTAAGAGATAGAAGTGGAAGTCTTTCAAGTTGAAATCGTCTCCAAGTTCTTTGGTGGCGTAATCTCGCAGCTCCATGATTTTAAGCTGACCAATCATGTAGGCAGTTGCTTGTCCTGGATCACTCTGGTACCTAGTAATCTCTTTCTCTGCTGTATCACTAGTGTCCCAGGCGTACTTGGCAAAGTAGTCTAGGGCTTCAGCTCGTGAGAAACCTTTGTAATGCAAACCCGTGTCCACAACAAGGCGGAGAGCGCGCCAAACCTGAAGCAGAAGAAGACGACAATAATGGATTGATAAGGCATACTTTAACAACTTTTTGATAACTTGCTAGGTTGTGTTTGATTCTCAGATTCTCATGATAATAAATATTTAAAATTCATGTGATTTCTTTAATAGAGAGAGACCAGAAATGCAAGTATCCATGCAGCTGGATAATTTTCATGTCTAATCAAACTAATTTGGAACTATCCAATCGACTGACTGACACTAGACCGTGTGGCTCAGAGTCGAAACGGCTGAGTAATGACGGATCGGCTTAAAGAACCCGGCCAATTGCACCAATGATTGCTTGTTTAAACGATTAACTTAAGACTCACTAACTGGTGGATTTACTCAGTGACTGACTCAATAGCCAGTAGTGTATTAGCTTTTAACTGTTATGTGACACTCCGCCACACACTGGATGGACACTGGATTATAGAAGTTTCAAGAAGGATTACGTATCACTTACTTGCCACTTTAGCATACCATACTTCTGAAAGGGTTCGTTGGCATATACATTTGTTTCTTTAGCAATCAGTGGATTCTCAGCGTAAAGTGCCCAGCCCTCAGTGAAGGCCGTGTAATAGGTGGAGCTGTCCAGCCAGAGAATCACACCTCCACAGCTGTCACGAAAATGCTCGACAAGTCCTTGAACCTAACATGGAGAGGAAGACGATGAAGGAGGTTTAGATAACTCAGCAACAGCCTCTGACTCACTGTGAGAAACTGTAGGCGTGTTAAATTATTATTTATCCTTGATGAGACCCAACCCTATCAGTGTCATGCTTGCATAAAATATCGGAGAGAGAGAGAGAGAGTGGAGGGACACTTGTTAGTCTTAATACCTTACATCGCAAATCTTCCGTCTATCTCAACCGCATTAACACGAAAAGAACATCTTTATTTGTATGTCACCTGTGTGTGGTGCCCAGGTCTCGCTTCATGTGCATTTACGCTCCACTCAGAATACTTAGGCCCAGGCCTTTCCATGAAAAACGGAATGTTGTACAGCGAGTTTCTGCTGCAGTCTTTGGTGCTTCGCATGTAACTCTGAGCTCCTTTCGACGGGTTGAAGGTTGGCGCCATATCTACAGGACAGTTTGGTGTGGTATGCTTTAGGCCGGAAAAATGAAACATGTCGGTTGTCTGGGGGTCCAGCATACTCATCACCTGGAATAAATGAAGTCATTATGATATTAGCATTTCATACTCAAAATAAACCCTTTGTCCCTAGGATGCCGCGTGTAATAGTTTAGTAGCTGCAGAGAGAATCTCAGTAAAATTGAAGGAAAATTGGCATTGACGGATGAGGGGAAAAGACCGAAAAATAAATGAACATGTGTTGCAACAATAGTAATGGCTGAATCTCAATCACTACTGATAAAAACCACAACATTTTCTGCTTTAAAGGCACACGAGGTCGACCGGTAGCGTTTTAGTCAAGTAAAGTACATACCTCCTAAGCCAACACCCTTTTTAGTTGATGAAAAGTTTCTTTCAACGGTAGGCGTCTTACAAAAATTTCTTGGTCAGCTATTACTTCTTAGCTTGTTTGAGTTTCGTTGGCAAGAAGTCCTAAACAATTCAACTGAATATCATCTAGCTCATGCAAATTTTAGAATGATATACACTAAAAATTACCCTCCTAGCCTCTGCAAACCAGTTTTGCATAGCCTCCCAGCGTACTGGACAATACTTCCTTGCTCCTTCTACAGAGCTGCAGAGCTTGTGCGCGTTTTCATCAGACTCATTGGCAGGGATCGGCTTTTCAGCAAAATACATGTCCGAATTATTCAGTCGCTTTATAAAGCGTTCCTTCGCCGTGTCGTTGTCGGCTTCTTTTGTCACATCGCGAGCGATTTCAAGAACCTATAAAAAATGTAGTATACACAAAAATTCCTTTCTTTGTCAGGGGCCTTTAGTGTCTTTTATTTAACAAATCGACCACAGTTTTCTATTCTCTATAACCTTATTGATCATAGAAATGACGTCAACAATGTTTCAAATTAAAGTAAAACCACGAGGCGCAGCCGGCGGCTTCACGGCAAGTGTTTTTACGAGGTAACTCTATGTCTACTCTGTGAACCAAAAACCTGCTTTTTTTTTCTTTTTATTTTTAATCCACCTCGACAACTCCTTCTTAACACATTTTCTTAAGTATACCGATACCAAATTTCGGGAATTAACCACTGTCCATATTTCAGAAATCTGCAGTTGCTCTTAGGAGAGAAAAGAAAAATCTTTTCCTCCTACATAGCGGTAGTTGTTGATGAGCGGTGCGTTACATGTCACGTCGTTTTTATGGTCGATTCAGTTTAAACTTTATTGACGATGATTCTCGACCAATCAGCACGCCAGAATTTCAACGTTTGTTGCCAAAAAATTAGTTATTAGAAATTTTTCAATTTTGGTAAAGCTAACAGCGAGTTACCGAGTCGACAGTAGGGAGAAAAAGAAGTAAACATACTAACTAAATAATAAAAACCTTATCTTCATAGTGATGAAGCTTATACTGCATCACAAGATTTAAGGAATACCAAAACGTGACCCTACCTCAGGGTAAAGTTTCTTAACCATCTCGTTTCCAAGCTCGTGAACCTGGTCGGGTGTTTTGGAGATCGTCGTGAAATATGGTAATATAGATTCGTAAGCTTTTTTCCCGTCCAGTTTTTCTCCGGTTGGCAACTGTTTCGTTGTGTTCTCCGCTGTTTGGCTTCCATTTTCGTACACATGTGAGAGCGGAAGCTTCGCAAGGCCACTTGAAATAGAACTTGGAACACAGTGCTGAAGGTTCTCTGTTTCTAGAAATCTGGTGCGTATAATTGTAATACAAAATAAGGTCTAACGCAGATTGCTGACTCAAATGGTCCTTTAAATTCTACTCGCAAGTCCATTAACAATATAATTACATTAAATACTGATTTTGTTCACTTCATATGGTAACGACGCTTTACTCAATCGAATGCTTTTCATCTTTCAGTATGAACCAGCTGTTGTTTCTCACCGCTGACACTATAGTTTGAGGTTAACTAAAGGAAAATTCACAGCACAATAGCTATATCGTATGTGATTATTAAAGCTTTACTCGAGGACATGACTATTTCATTTTTACGAATTAGGAGAGCCTTACTTGATCACATCTAGGATAGATTTACTAATATATTTCAAGGCGTGTTCCCGGATGGAGACGTTGACAGTCATCTGATTCTCTTTTTCCCACTCTTCTAAATGGCTGGGTTTCAAACCGGCCAGAAACTTGGCAGCAAAGATTGGCTTCATGTAATCTTCATCAAAAATTCCTGACAATAACGAAAACAAGGTTTTACAGACAAGATTTGATCTAATTTTTACGAGAAACGAGAGAGGCAACCTCATCGTGTTTGTTCTTTTTAAGAACTGTTTCTTTCTTTCTTCCCTTTTACTGTTTTGCTGCTGCTGTTGTTTCATTGTTCTTTGATTCGAGTGATCAGTACCAAAATTCACCCAAAAATTCAAGCTATGGCTAATCAGTCAAACCAGTTGTTTCTGCTGATGATCGTGACCGTGTCCTCACGCAACATCCAACGAGCATTGCGTGACAAAAAAAAAATCAAAGTGGAAACAAGTATGGAGCATGTAAGGATGTATTGGAGCAACATCTTTTACAGGAAAAAAGCAATTTTGAATATGACCTAAAACAATTTACCAAATGACGGCTATAAACGAGATAGAATTTTGAACCTTAAAAATCTGCGAGGCGGGGCCTACCCGAACATGTCAGTTAATGCCACCTCCCACTTTGTAAATTCATTTCACATACCTTGCTCTCCTTGAAGCGATACCTGCAAATAATTTCGTTTGAATGCGTCTATTCCGGCTTTACATTCTTCAACTGAGCGAACCATACCAGCTTTGATCCCCAACCGCAAGTTGTTGACGTATGTCGAAAAAGTCGCTGCCACCAACTCCATTTTACTGAGAAACAATCGCACATCGTCCAGATTCTTGGGGTGGAAATTTCCCAGGCCATATCTAATGTCCGAGGAGCCGACGCTGCATATCTCTTGCCAGCAGAACAAATTTGGTCCCATAAGAAAATCTCCGGCATAATAATCTGAGTCGTAGGGCTTTCCGAAGTTGTTTTGAAGGTAGTGCTTGAGTTGTGCCACAGCTTTTTTCTCACGCGGTTTCAAGCGAAGCGTATTGACACCTAAATCATCCAGTTCATTTAGAAGTTGTCGGGCTTTGTCGGTGATTTTCTTCAAGTTTCTGGGTTCTGGATTGTACGGTTTAAACTTCGTCATAAACTCTTCATTCTTAACGCCCCCAGGTTTGAAAATTAAATCTTGAGGATGAAGATCATAGTAAGTATCTTGAACTTTCTGGAGGAATTTGTCGACACCTGCTCTCTTGGCCTCCTCGGAATAACTACAACGATTGGCGTCTTCCCCGCCGCTTGCACCAGAGACACCAGCATTGCAGTCTTCGCTAGATTTTTCCTTAGCTTTCGCAATGAGGACGATTCCAACTATGAGTAGAATCAACCCTATCAAGGTTATAACACCGGTAACAATTACCAGCGTATTTCTGTTCTTGTTGAATACCATCCTGCCCGCAACGTCCAAGGTCTCAAATGGTGATTGATATATGATACATATGCTACTTGAACTTTGTTGGTGTTAATATATTTATTTTTCTGTTGACATTGTTTAACTCCACTGATAACTAATTTAAAATCTCCATTGTTATTGGTTCAAGCTCATTAGAGGAAAATATTAAGGAAATACCTAAGTTGTTCAGCTAATGAACCAAACTGAATAATGAACCAAACTGTGTTCTGATGCAGAAGTTGCAGAAGTGCAGTTGGACAGAAGTTTAGATAGGCCATCTTACGCGCCTGCCTCGGATTTAAAACACTGCATATCGATCATCGCGGAGAATCATCTCGCCTGCGACGTATCAAGATTAAACCGTAGATTGATACCTGTCAAAAGCGTTCAATAGTGTTTTCACGACAAATGCATGTTTATTACGGTTCGAAGATGACAGGAAGATGACAGTGGCGTTTTAACTCTATTTGATATCGTCATTCGCACCGCCATTCTTATTGGCGAAATCTAGATGAATTAAATCGATCCAATTATCTAACCAAACATGCAGTGAATACCTAGGTTGTGTAAACATGTGTTCGCTAAATCGCGCAATGGTGTTATTACACCTCAATCGACTGCGGTCTCAGAAAGTCTTCCCGTGCCTTGCTCACGTAGCGAGCGACGGAAAGAACACGTGGTTGTTGTTCCACAAGTTTTTCGTCGTATGATAAGACGCCGGAAGTACATATTGGTAATACAATTAGTTTGTAAATTTAGTCATAGTAGCAAATGTATGTGGTTTCTGACTTGAATTGCTGCACTTGAATTTATAACTGATATTTCAATAACCTGAGACGAAGTTATCTCGAGAATAACTTCAATGAATTTAGAAGGAAGCATGCAAAAGCAAATCAAAACCCTCATCTTTAATCTTTCGGTATTGACAGAGTTTTCATTTTCCATTAGCCCCCAAAAGCGTCCAGTCTCCTTGAAACCTATCTCTAACATTGATCTGCGCTTCCTATGGTGAAATATTTATTTAGATCCCAAGATCACGTTACGCACAAGTGGTTACGAGCTGTTTACCTTGCAGACATGGAGAAACCAAAGAATTACTATGTTCTTAAGGAGACAGAGCCACCTTCTAAGAAGCCTCTTTATATCGCTATAGCCGTTGCTGTCGTGTTATGCTTTGTGGGATTAATTCTTATCGTGGTTGGTGGAGTTTTAACCTCCAAAGCTAGGAAGGAATGTCCAACTGAAGTGTCGCCTTCTTCTAAAGCGCCTATGGTAAAACCGTCGACTTGCGAATACTCCGACGAAGCTAAGCGCGTGGGGTTGGACAAATTCCTTCTTAAAGTGAAAACTACTTATTACAAGATGAATCCCAACAACGCGGTTTACGATCCTGATTCGACGCCGACAACCATTCGCGAGGATTTCAGCCCGTACGACGCGCACCCGGAGGCCATTCGAAAACGGACAGATGCGGCCAGAGCACTTTATGAAGAAGCTCAGGCGCTCGACGAAAAGGCAGACAGCGCTAAGATGAAGCCGCGTGAAATCAAAGCAATCGCGCAAGTGAAGCATTATCTCCAAAGCAACTTCGGCGCGCCCTACGACGAGAACTACTACGCCGGAGATTGGATGCTTGGTCCAAATAAATTCTGTTGGCAGCCAATCTGCGGCGTAGGAGGCGACCTCAGGGCTCATTTCACATACAAGGAATGGGGTGTAAGACCCAAGACGAAGAAGGACTTGACATTTGTCGTCGAACATCTAAAAAAGCTTAACGATTCCTTGATGCAATACATCGAAAATGTTAAGTATGGAGTGAAAGCAGGGTTTGTTCGTTCAGTGGAGGATTGTCAAGACGGCCTGTATTCCATTAAGCGCGCCTATCTAAAAGTGTCACAACAGGGCCCTCGGGGTAAGGTTTTGTATTTTTTGGTTATTTCTAACTTAGAAAGATACTGCTGGATGCTGAATCTATCTCTATGGGGTTCAGTTTGACTTACGTATTTCAATTCTTGGATCTAAGATTTCTTACGCAACATACCATACTAAGGAGATATGTTGTCAAGGGTCTCAAATTCAAAACTGAAGTGTATAACTGATGGCATGGGGCAGTGATTGTGAGGAAATGAACTTCTTTACGAATTAATGGAATATTTTGGAGGATTCAATTTCAGGAGTAACCTTGTGACATCTTCTCACAAGTTTTCATGACATCGTACCCTGGGAACTATGCCGACTAATCAAAGTTGAGGTTTTAATATATTTCTTAATAGGACAAGTCACGCTCCATTTCTGAAAAAAAAAAAAAACAAAAAAAGTAGTTTTAGATAAAGATTCAATTCAAAGATTGTAATTCAAACGTTTAAGCTTTCTTTTAGTTCGCTTGTTTTGATTAGCGCTGTAGGTATTTAGCAGGACTTTTTATATACATATTTCTACTGACAGGAGTTCTAAACGAATCATATACTCAAGAGATGCTCGATCCAAAATGGCTGGCTGATCTACCAGAAGATGTATCTAATGCTTGGGAAAAGGAACACAAAGAATCTGTAAAGACATACATACATGAAGCTCTTGTGGAGTATGTGGGGAAACCACTGGACAGCTTGCTGAAATACTTGGAGTTCGAACATTCTCAATACTGCGTCCCCAGTAACATCTCCAGCGGTCTCGCCACGCTCCCTCTGTCATATATCTACAAAAACGGTACTAACACTGGGATACCAGCCACTGGAAAACTTCCTAACGGTGACCCGCTGGATGGAAAGAAAGCCTATGAAATGATCTTACCTTACTTCACTACAAGTATGGAGATGACACCTAATAAAGTTTACAATCTGGGAAAGACAATGTTGAATAAGCTTTATCCGCGAGCCGTGCAAATAGCAAAGGAATTAACAGGGCAGCAGGACGAAAATCAGGCTGTGGTGGCGTTTAAAAAACGTTTAGAACAACAAAGCATGTTTTTCAATGAAGAGAAAATTCCCGAAAATGAGAGTAACAAGGACGCATTCGAGAAGTGCACCAGTATGGAACAAGCTAAAATATACTGTCCTAAGAGATACAAAGCCATGCTGACCTGGTTTGACTATGTTAACAGTAAGTAAAGAGAACCAAAATGTCATTAGTGTAGAATATGCGCTACAATTAGGGAAAAAAAGAATCGATCGAAAGCGATTATTAAGCTTCAGGTGCTTTAATCTCTGATTCATTCCACGAGAGGTGAATTGTATAAATGTACCACCTACCATACCGCAATGCAGTAAAATTATCAACGTTGATCTGGTTTGACAACGTTTCTAATTGTCCTCATGCACACGCAAAGGAATATGATCATTTTCAATTCTTCACTTTATTTGTCTTTTTATGAAGGTCGATTCAGTGCCCAAGATAAAATGAGTAACAGAGGAGAACAAACAAAAGTAATTTTAGTTAAACTGAAGGATTTCAATCAAACTCAAAATTCTTCTGGAATAATAATTATCAAGAGGTTTAAAGTCTCGTGAAATTATCATATCTCAAAACATTAATTTATCAGATCTCACTGACACATTTGTTCACCTTTTGTGTGTTGTTTAGCTGTCTTGAGTGACCTTGCCCCGAAAACCAATCATATGTTTCATTTCACTGGTAAATACCAGAGCACGCCCAACTGTCCGGTCAAGCTGGTAGCGAATTTCAACCCAGGCACCGGTTCCCAGAGTTATAGATCCAGCAATAGAGACTGCACCAAAAATGCACAGTACCGATTACCGTTCTATTTGAAAGACATGGGACCAAGATACAACGCCATATCCGTGGGCGCTCACGAGGCGAGGCCTGGACACCATACCCAGGTAATTTATTCTGCTCTTCTCTTCAATGAGGTCTACCTGTGGGGATAAATTTGTGACGAACTGCCAATTTCATAAAACGCTACACAAATTGATTCTAAAGTGATTTTGTTTTGGTCTTTTCTTTGTTGATTTTATTGAAGCGTTGTCTCTTCTCTGTTTAGGTCCAGGGTTTCACAGAATTGTTCGGAGACAGCTGTGAGGGCGTGATAAGCTGGTTGAATGGTGCATCTTACTACACCGCGTTTACGGAGGGCTGGGCATTATACGCTGAGAATCCGCTCATCGCCGAAGAAACAGACACGTACAAAAACAACCCGCTGCAGTTGTATGGTATGCTCAAGTGGCAGATTTGGCGGGCTTTGCGCCTGATGATGGACACTGGCCTTCATTACAAAGGTATGCTGGTAACTGATTATTGACAGCCTTGGGCGAATAACAATTTAGCCGGGAAACTTCTTCCTCATCCTTAGCCTTAGGCTCGCGTAAATTATTCCTAGACACAAGGTAGCTGGCAAAACGGGAATAAAGTTACAAGGATGGGGCTTCCGAGGAATCGAAATTTGCAACACTAAATTTCGGGCCCTTGAAAGGTACCCTTTGTAACAAGGTCTTCATTGAGGATTTCGTCTTTTGAGTGTATGTGTATCGCAATCAACCAAAATTAACCATTATATGGCGAATAAATGGTTAGAGAAGTTGGAAGTTGACTAACAAATGCTTATAGAGCTAACGAACTACAGAAACATGCAGACGTGATCAAACGGAGAAGGAAATTGAGCACTTTGCTTCTGACCTATGAGACAAATACAGTACACTAATGTTGCATGATAGTTTCTGTCTCACATTTTTATAATCAAATAAATTTCAGGAATGAAGAGGTGGGAAGCACTGAAACTCTTCGCTGATTATGCTTGGGACAAAACTGACAAGGCTGTCAAAGACGTAACGCGTTATCAGAGCGACCCCGGCCAGGCAACTGCTTACATGATTGGCCAGTTAAGGATTTGGCAGGTACGAAATGACACTAAGGATACCATCGAGAAAGGTAAAAAGAGGTTCAGCGAGAAGGATTTCCATTACCAGGTTCTTTCCCAAGGATCCTCGCCACTAAGCTACTTGGAAAGACACCTATCGAAGTACGCTGACTGTGTCGTCAAACCTGGTCTCGGTGGCTGTGAATACATCATAGCCAATCCTTCCAGTGCAGACACTCCTACCAAAGATGCCGCTTCTAAGCGACCAGCGA